GTGAAAAACGTCGGTAACGTTACCGTGCGCCTGACCCTTGCCCATATGATGATTACACGCTCATCATATATGATTCTTACAATTTCCAAGGCTTTTTCTTGCATTTTTAATTTTTTTTTTTTCTCTTCTTTCTAAACAAAAGAGAATTGCGTAAAAACGGTTTTTGTTTCAATTAATCATCGGTGAACTGGCGATCAAACAGAACAGATGAACGCAATTAAAAATCCTTTTTTTATTCGCTTTGATTACAGTAATTGAAATCGGGTCGAAATTAATCTTATATAAAAGAAAAACTAAAACAAATCGCAGTGCTAATTGGTGGGTTTCGACATGAGCGCCGGTAGGCGCTGGAATTAGGAAATGAATAAATGTTTCCCTTTCGCTCGTTTATCACGGCGACTGATTGCGGTGGCCTGCCGAATAGTACACGCGCGATTGACCCAAATAATCAAATGGGAGACGATTAAGATGATCGCAGTAGCGGCGACGGACAGTAACAATTAACGGATTATTCCAACTGTCTAATTAAATTGCTGCTTGAAAAATGATATATACACATCAACTGAAGCACGTCCACACCCAACGCTATAGATTATTATGGAAAAAAAAAGTGATTTCCCTTTAAAGCAAAGCGCACGCAATCAATAAACACTCCATTGTTCTTTTTTTTTCGTTCGTTCTGTTGAGTGCAGGTCTGTTTTTTTCTTCAGATATTTTCACCGATAAATGCGCGTGCCTCAATGCGCTTCGTGGTTAACATAATCAACGGCTTATCACACTAGAATTAACAGCTTTGATTTGTTCAACGCTATTTTTTCTTCTCTCGTTCGTTGGCAAAATTCTTTAATAGCTGCGCGCGCACGGCCGCATACACACACATTTTCCATTTCAACACACAAGATTCGGTTGTTTTTTCACTCATTCTAAAAATATTTTTAGCTTTTTTCTTTTCTTTCTTATTAAATAACAATAATAGACATGAAAATTGCGTTTTAATGTCAGAAAAAAAATAGGTGCAATACGCGATGGATAGTTATGCATGTGCATTCGGAGGTGCACAGAGTTTGGATCGGTGTGTGTGTGTGTGTGTGTTAGGTCTGTATTCTATTCGCGTAATGTTTTTACCGTAAATAAAGAGAGAAGCCAAACATGAAAACAGCTGAAAACAATTAGGTGGCAAACAGAATGAAAAAAGCAGCACCGAAAACCGTCTCTCAAATGTGTACTATGGCACACAGGCCAAATGTGGAAAAGTTATGTGCGAATATTCCGTGTGTCGATTGAATAATACAATCAAATACAATCTAATAATTTTTCCCCGAGATTTCTTCAATCAACTGTTGTTGTGTGTGCGTTTTTTTCGGAATTTACAAATGCACGAAATTCTTTTCGCCACATTCAAACGTCATGTGCTGCTGCTGCTGTTGCTGATTTGTTGCACACACGCGTTTTTCCCTTACAAAATACACGCGCACTAAGCGCGCATAAATGGATTTTGTGGAATAATTTGAATGAACATATGCTCATTGCTCACTCAAACTGATAAATTAATAGGATTACGCGCGAATCATCGATGCATTCGTAAAATGGCTTGCCTAAGCGCGGCTTTTGAAGTGCTCGACAACAATGACGGTGGCTGCAGTCTGCTGCGGCTGTTTCAGTTGCAGCTTAATTATCTATTTGCAATTTGTTGTGCACAATTTTGAGTTGTTTTCGCTTTTTGCCCGTTTTCCTACACAATCATTTCATATTTTTCACCAATTTAATCAATCAATTCGTCAAAAACCGAAATTATATATGGAAAAAAATTAGCGTGCAATAGACACACAGACAGCGACTAAACAACCGTCATCAGTTGAATGTTAAAATTTGTCGACAAACGCCGAGCTGCAACATAATAATAGACTCAAAACTGAATTAATCCATCTAACGCATGCAAAATGCAATCAAACACACACTCACTCACTCACACGAGCTCTCAACGAAATTAACACACATTACGGCAAAAAAATGAAGAGAAAAAAATGATTATGTCGAAGTCGAAGCAATTGTTTGTTTACAAATATGTTGTGGCTGTTGTTGTTGGATCAAAACAATTGTTACTTTGTTTTCTTCGAAATTGTGTAAAATATGCCTTTTGTGTATTCTGTTCTAATTGTTCCATTTCATGCTTAATTTTCAATTAGACCAAATCAATACGCCTACGAAATATTTCTATAGAACGTCAAAACAACAACGATATTGTATGATTTTAATCGCTTCGAACTATTCAGCACCGTTTCGACTCTGTTGCTTGTGTGCTTTCTTTCTTTCTTCTTCGATTATGTGATGTTGACAAAATACAATTTCAAAGCATAAAGACATTGAAACGCCTGTAACCGGCCTACCAAAACACGTTTTCCAAGAAGAATTATGACCGAACGATCAAATACCGTTATGATGAGCTGTATTTAAAATTCTTACATAGTCATCGCATTTAAACTTGTTCTGGCCGCAGAAAAAAAATTGTTTTTTTTTTTTTGTATGAAATCTATTGACTTTTTTCTTTACCAACCTTTTTCTCTATATCAAGTCAACATTGTCGACGGAGTGTTTTTTTCTGAAGTTAAGTGGCGCTTTTTTAGTGGAACCAACTGGCTTTTTTTTTTTTTTTTCAAAAACGCTTTTTTTTCATTGGAATGAATACTCAACATCGACACTGTTGATGGAACAACAAAAAACTATCAAAAGAATAACAAAAACATGAGTGTGTCGTCTAAGCGATGAAGATTATTACAAATGGACGCTTTGACAACATCCAATTGAATTGTTTGCTCTTTTTTTTTCTTTTCCTCTGATTCTTTCGCATATATCAAGTATTATGCGCTTAGAATGTGGAAGAAAAAAGTTGGAAATGACTTGAAGAAATATTAAAAAGCATCGAAACACCAAAGTGTTGCGTATTCCGACAACCTATAGAACAATAATTGAATAAACCCACCGAAATCATACGAAATTGATAATAAAAAGAAAAAAAAAAAAAAAAAAAAAAACAATTCGTGCGGTAATGTCACAATTCTGGGTCTGTCATACACATAATAAAGTATTTAGACAGATTGAATGCATTGTTGTGGCGGGCGCCGTTGTCGTCAAATGCATTTTTCTTTTCACCCAATATGTAATTTTTGCATTGTTCCAAGCAAGTGATCGGGCGGGCGGTTGGTCTGGCATGCGCGCGTACTCGCTCGATTTCGTCGAGATGTATGTATATATGTATGCCATTTAGAGACGAAAAAAAAGAGCATTAGATAGACACCAAGAGAGACAGAGGTATTTGAATTCATTCTTCCGTGCCGCATACACTGTGAGCGCGCGCATTTAACATGATTATGACATTTTCGTCATAAAATCGCTAGCTAGCTGTGTGTGTGCTTTTTTATTTGTCTGTCTTGTTCCTTCATAATTCAGCTGTGGAAGGCTGAATTTCAAATTACGTCCCAGCCGTCTCTCTATCTCGTCTCATGTGATCATTGTTCGCTTCATTCATTCTCTTCTCATTTCGACGGTTCACATTGTTGTTTTTTTTCTTCGCTAATTTTCGTTTTTTTTTTTGGGACACAATGCATACTGCAATGATTTATTTCTGACTTTGCCGAAATGAACACACGAAAAATGAAACGCGCAAGACAAAAGTGGAAAAATCCAAAACACAATGATAAAATAATTGAAGCAAAAGTTTTTTTTGGGCTAAACGTTTCGGCTGGTGTGAAATCTCTGTTTAAATGGTGTTTTTTTTTTCTTCTCTCGCGTGTGCAATTGAGGGTGCCGCGCACACGAGTGAATGTTCGCATTTTAATTCGTTTACCATTTCTTAAGTTTGCAATTTTTTAATTTATAATTTCATTTTTTTCGCCCATTTTTTTTGTTGTTGTTCCTTTTCAATTATTAAGTCATGAAATAGACGAATAACGACAGCAGCGGTGGCGGCAACGGAAAAGATTATAGCGGCAAAAATTTGCATAAATGTTAACCATCATGTATGAGCATTGTTTAGATGTAAAACATATATCTTGCGTTGTTCTCGCTTTAATTAATTGAACGTTACGATATTGTTCCGTGCTCAAACAGAAAATCCAATTAAATTCTTACTTCTAGATTACGTGAGATTTGTTTTGGCGTTCTCTCGCACGCGTGTGTGCCACAAGAGAATGACAAATATCACCTTGAACAGAAATAACAGAACAAAATCCGTGTGTGTAGAAATCTTTGGCAATAACCGTTCTATTTCTCTCTCTCTCTCTCTCTCTCTCTCTCTCTCTCTCTCGTTCTTGCATTGCAGACACAACAGATAAATCAGATCAATCAACGGCCGAATCATGGTGGCGATCACATATAACGACGCCCGGCGCTGATGCGTCGCTGGACAATAACTTTTTTTCGGCAACACATGGTCTAGTTCAAACACATCCATCGCTGAGCGGTGGCATCCCACGGCCAGCGGGCATTCGAAGCAGCCAAATTGGTGGTGTTGCAGCTGCAATTAATCCATCACTTGGAGCAACACTTGCGGCAGCCAATCCAAAATCGCCATACAGACATTTGGACTTTGCCAGCAGTGCAACGGCTGAATTACGACGTAATCCAAATCTATCCGCACCCGATGAATGTGCACGCGCCTGCCGAGAAGGTGAACCACCTAGAATATGTTACTATCATTTTACACTCGAATACTACACCGTTTTGGGAGCGTAAGTACAATCATATCTTTGCTTCGTTTTTTATTCGTTTTTTGAAACCAAATTATGGAAACCAGAATTATGCATACATTTGATAATTAGTAACGGATGCTTCGTTTAACTAATGTGCGAATCTCACATTGAATTCAGAAAAAACAACAACCAGTTCAATGTCGTTCCATTTCTCTCTTTCAACTTGTCAATTCTTACGCTTTCCGACGTGTAATCGATCAGACGATCACAATGGTCGAGTTCATGATTTGCTCTCACCCGTAATGGGCCCTAGATGCGATGAACGTGAACGATGTCCGACGTTCGCTAGCGTAATTTTTACATGAATGCGGTCAATGTCAGTGTCCAATATATACACGAAATGGGTTCGATTATGTGTGTTCACGATTCCATTCAAGAAAAAAAAAACAGAAACAACCGTCTTGCGACTGACTTCGAAGAAGTACGCCGGCACCTACGCCAAAGAGAAAGAAAAATAAAGGCAATACATAATAAACAGTTTTGGTTTCATGCCGTGCGTGATTCCTATCGTTTTTTTGTTTTGTTTCATGTGACTGAGCGAAATTCGGAAACTTTTGCTTTCATTTGGCTCAGTTTAAACGGTCAATTTGTAAGACGTATTTATTTCATGAGTATGAAATGGATATGTATTCCAATTGTGAATGGACTTTGCCAATGAATTAGACATTTTTTTTTTCTCTTTTGGCCAATTTAAAGTTTGTACGTGCAGAAGTCATAATTTTCCAAAAAATTCATCCGAACGAAACCGAGAGCAAAAGAGCAGCAGCATTTTGATGTCAGTGACACACGCAGCTGACCAATTCCAAAACTGGACCAAGCGCACGATTCCAAAAAGGAATACAAACAACACGGCAGCAACAAGTACAAGAAAACAAGCGCTAAATCAAAAAGAAAAACACGGCAACAAGCACTTTTATGCCATCAAATATGAATTATTTCGGAATTGTTGCCTGTTGCTGCCGCCGCTTTTTGTTTGTTATAAATCTATGGGTTTTAGTTGCAACGATTAGACAATTAAGATATTTATGTGCTGTTGCCGCCGCTGCTGTTGTGTATCTCATTTTGAGCGATTTCGCTACAAGCCACAATCGCATTCTGCCAATGAAAAAGTGCCTCTTAACATGCGAATGAAACGAAAAATACATATGATTTGACTGGGAAAAGAGAAGAGAAAAAGCAACAACAGCGGCAGCGGCATCAGGCAACAACAAAAAACAAGAGCCAAACACGCGGTAAACACACAAAACAAACGGTAAATTCATTTGTGGTTGGCCCTGAAGTAACGCTCAGTTACGACATATCATCTCGTTTCTGCCTTTTTTTTCGTAATTTTTTCCGTTAATTACAACTAAAAGGTAGCGAGCTCTATTTTTGTGCGCTGGCCATTGCTGAACGTACCAATGATATTGAACCAATCGACACATTGTGATAAACGAACAGAAAAAAAACATACACGCCGATCGAGCGAGAAACGAGCAACACAATTTTTCGGAACGTATGCATATTTGGTGATGATATGGTTTCTAATTACGTTTTTTTTTTTTTCGAATCGCAATTCCATTTCGTAACATAATTTTTCGATGTGTTTTTTTTCTTCTTTGCTTTGCAGCGCATGTCAAGTGTGTACACCAAATGCAACAAACACCGTATGGAGTCATTGCCAGTGTGTGCTGGCCGATGGCGTTGAACGTGGTATTTTGACCGCCAATCGTATGATACCTGGACCCAGCATTCAAGTGTGCGAGAATGATAAGATCGTTGTCGATGTGGAAAACCATATGGAAGGTATGGAGGTTTCGATCCATTGGCACGGCATCCATCAACGTAACTCACAGTATTATGATGGTGTCCCGTTTGTTACACAATGTCCCATTCAACAAGGAAACACTTTCAGGTATTGAATTTTCTTATCGAAATCGGCAATCAAAGAAAATCGTCATTTTTTACATCACTTTTGAGAGCTAGGCCCACACAGGAAGAATTGAAATGTTGAGCTTTATGAGGCAAAATTTAGCATTAGCTACTTCAAGTTACTTACCATCTTACCAGTGGTTAGCAAAAGAAAAGCTTGAATCCAAGAAAAGCATTTTCAAACATTCAGTCATTGGCGTTTGACAACTCAGCGATTAAATATTGATTTTGCCATTCTTTTGTACGGCTTTTGCTCTTGAAGTGCAGAAAAATGAAGTCAAATGACAAAAGTCGATAAAATTTCGTTATTAAAACAACGGTTGAATTCTTTGATCTAAATGCAATTTCCATTTGTCTATTCTTTCCTCACTTAGATACCAATTTACCGGAAATGCTGGAACCCACTTCTGGCATTCGCATACTGGATTACAGAAAATCGACGGTCTCTATGGCAGTTTGATCGTGCGTCAGCCACCATCACGTGATCCAAATTCGCATCTGTACGATTTTGATTTGACCACACACATTGTACTGCTGAGCGATTGGTTGCACGAAGATGCGGCCGAACGTTATCCTGGCCGTTTGGCCGTCAACACTGGACAAGATCCCGAATCGATGTTGATCAATGGTCGTGGCCAATTCCGTGATCCAAACACTGGTTTCATGACAAATACACCGCTCGAAATATTCACAATGACACCGGGCCGTCGATACCGTTTCCGCTTAATTAATGCATTTGCGTCTGTCTGTCCAGCTCAAATCACATTCGAAGGTCATGGCTTGACAATAATTGCAACTGACGGTGAGCCAGTGCATCCCGTTCAAGTGAACACCATTATCTCATTTTCGGGTAAGTTCGAGTTGTTTTTCTTCTCTTCGTTGAACCAACCAATTCCATTCAAGTGTTCATTTCTTTCCCTTCGTTCTATCCATCCATTCGTTCCTCTGTCCAATTTAATATAAATAAGTACGACAAAATAACTCATTTATCAATACTTCATATTGAAAGGGTCCAGTTTTTGTTATTGCTTGTCTTAAACACCGTCATCATAAAAGAGACAAACAAAAAACCGAATTGGTTCAATTATATAATTTAAACTGCGTCATACAACTCTCAATGCGTGCATTTGGCAGCTACTGCTTCAAGGAAATATGCAGTCAAATCAAAAATCGATTTATTTCATAGCACTTTTTTCCGTTCGAAAAGGGAGGAAAAAAAGCAATTGCGCATAGGTTGAGACAGGTAGAAAAATATCATAACAAATGACTAATTGAATATGAAAACGAAAAAAAAAACGGCTTGTTTAGATAGAGAAAAAAAAATTGAATAGAAAGCCAAGCATATGTTTGTAATGTCCTCGCAAGCAAAAATCACCAATGCGACAGCAATCGATATATGCGTAAAAAAGTACACACAACAAATTGGTCCAAATTAAATTTAATTGAGCATTTCAATAAATTTGTGAACTGCCTGTAATTGCTTGTAAAATAGCTCTCACTTTTCAGTCTCTCTCTCTCGCTCGCTCGCTCGATCGTTTGTTGTCTCGCGTATGTGTGTGTGTGTGTGTGGTTCGTTTATATGAGGGTCTCAAGCCGAGAGATTTATGAAATGAATTAATAAAAACCTGCATTCGATTGAGACAATGCGTAGAGATTGATCTTAATAGGCACTAATGCCACGTATGTCAAGGTCATTAGCAGCGCCGCCACTTGAATTTAGCCAGTTGGCTCTCATGTTCCGCAAAATTGTGCGTTTAGTTTTATCAGACCACCGGTTTGTGATTGCTTGTACCCTTTCTGTCTCTTTTTTTACCCTCTTGCTCTTTCTCTCTTGCTCTCTCTCTCTATCTTCTTCTCTCTCATTTTCTCACTCTTGCTCTATATCTCACCATTCAAAATGGGAAAATCACGTTCGCGTTTTAATTTGGTTATTTTCTTTGGTGGCTTTCCGAAAAATGTAGGTGAAAGATACGATTTCGTAATCAATGCTGATCAACCAGTTGGAGCGTATTGGATACAGGCACGTGGTTTGGGTGAATGTGGTATTCGACGTGTCCAACAATTGGCCATCCTTCGTTATGCTCGCGGGCCATATCAACCAACGGCTGTTGCGCCAACCTATGATGTCGGTCTGCCACAAGGAGTCGTAAGTACATTTACAATTCCAGCTCATTCCTCAGCATTCATCCAATGTCTGATGAACGAGACGAACATTAATTACTCATCTTCGACTGAACAATTTCGAAACAAGTTTCCTTTATCTACTACTTCCTGAAGGATACTACGCAACAAAAAAAATACAAGTCTGACTCTATCTAAGATATCAAATAATGTTCTTTTGTACATAGAACTCATGTAAATACTACGGCAAGAAAAAAAAGAAAGAACTCATGTAAATATGATGTAAATACAACTATCTGTCAGGGTAGACTCTGTCTGCTTTCTCCCCCCTCACACACCGAGTGAGTGTCGCGTGTACGCATCGATCAAATATCTCAATTCGATTGTACCTTGCCTCGCTCTCATCACTTCCAATTCTCAATACAATGTGTAAATAATTTTAATTTTTTCGCAATTTGTCTTCATTTCTGTCTTTTTCCTGTATATATTTAAAGTATTTCCTTTCTTAAGTTTTCTTTTCTATTGAAACAAAAATTTTATTATGATAAAATTGTATTTTGTCGATCGGTTTTTTGTGTTCGTATGCCATTTTATAAATGCAAATCGATGAACAACGAGACATCAGTTTGCGTATCTGTTGTCAGCTGAATCGATTTATAGTTGTTGTTTTTTTTCTTTTAATTTTTGGACAAAAGAAAGCGAAAGAGCATTGTAGGCCGATTTTTGTGTGTTGTAGGCACAAATCTAAATACATTTCAAGTTTCCAGATAACAAATAAAAGAGACACAGAAAAAGACATTGAAATTCACAAACGTATCTATTGTGTGTATTGGCAAGAAGTCGAACCGTGAGTTGAAGTTTCGTTCCTTTTATTTGTCTTAGCATAATTATACGATTTATTTATTTTTGGTTTTGTTATACCGAGAATGTGAGTCATTGATATGAAAATTGCCAGCATCTACAGACTATTATTGCAATACATCAAACAGGAATCACAAAAGAGACAAAAAAATACATTTTTTTTTCTTTCACATTTTCATCATTGACGAATTTTGAGGCGTTTTATTGAATCAAAACCAATTTTTTTCTTTCATTTTTTTTTTGTTGATTGTGCGATTACGGCCTAATCAATAAATTTAAACGATTCACTTTCACCGAAATTTCTGAATTTCTTACGAAAATCGCACATTTTGCGCCTACGACGGTGAAATTTAATTCGGTCGATTCGCTAACCGGATTTAACATAACAATCGATGTTGAATATTTAGGTATTGAACCCATTAGACGCACAATGTAATCAACAACGGGACGATGCCATCTGCGTTAGCCAACTGAAAAATGCACTGGCCGTCGATCAAGATATTTTGCAAGCGAAACCAGACGTTAAAATCTTCTTGCCATTCCGATTCTACTTGTATCGCGTCGAAGAACTCTTCCAGCCAAACACATATAACCGTTTTTTGGGTAAGTTTGATTGAATGGAAAGCGATTTTTTTGCGCTTCAATTTGAATATTTCAATGATTTCTTTTGTTTAATTCTTCAATTAAACTTAAAAAAGAAAACTGAATAAAACCTAAACTTGAATAAAGAATGAATGAAACATAAAAGTTTTATTTCTAATTCGATTCAATTTAATTTTTTCGAGGCTTTTGATTGATTTCAAAGTGTAATAGAGATTAAAATGCCGTTCTTCTATTATTTTCAGTCGCACCAACCGGTGACCATGTCATTTCTCTGATCGATGAGATTTCATATTTGTCACCGCCAGCACCACTTCTGTCGCAGTACGATGACATCAATCCGGAGCAATTCTGCAATGGTGACAATCGACCAGCTGATTGTGGCACCAATTGCATGTGTACACACAAAATCGATATACCGCTCAATGCAGTCGTCGAAATCGTTTTGGTTGACGAAGGTAACGGAGCTCAATGAATAAATTTCATTAAAAAAAAAAATTGAATTTCAAATTTTTGTCATCTTTTATTTGAAAAATGTTCGAAAAGATTCATTTCAAATGAAACATTGATTCATTCAAACAAAAATGGAAAAAATTGCCCATTCCGAAGAAAAAATGAATTTTCCATTTAAAATAAATTTAAAAGTCTCCAAATTGAAAAACTAATGCAGTAAAATTTCGTAAAATTTTGAATCATTACAGTTCAACAGCCAAATCTAAGTCATCCGTTCCATTTGCACGGTTATAGTTATAGTGTGATTGGTATCGGCCGATCGCCGGATACAAATGTCAAGAAGATCAATTTGAAGCATGCACTCGATTTGGATCGTCGTGGTTTATTGCATCGACAATACAATTTGCCACCATCGAAAGACACAATAGCTGTACCAAATAATGGTTATGTTGTTTTACGTTTTAGAGCTGACAATCCAGGTGAGAGCAGAGACAAAGACATTGGCAGTCGTTGAAGAAAAGGAAAATTCCTATGTTCAATCCAAATTCGAACCAATGATAAAATTAAAATGTGTGTTTTTCTTCTGCGTTTTTTCTAGGCTCGTGGTTGTTCCATTGCCATTTCCTCTACCACATCGTCATTGGAATGAATTTAATCTTGCAAGTCGGTACACAGTCCGATTTGCCACCAATTCCGCCCAGCTTCCCAACATGTGGTGATCACACGCCGCCAATACCAATTAATTAAACATCAACACCTCAGAAAAAAAACAGCACATGAACCGAAAACAATTACATCCAAACACCTTTTTTTTTTTTAAATCCTTTCAATCATTTGCCAAAATTATTCCTCTCCGTTATTACTTTGTATTCATAATTTCTTTCGTTTCTTTCGCTTTTTCAAAATGTGCGGCGCGCTTTAGTGCAGCTCCTTCCGGCCAATCACTTCATTTGATTTGTCTCTGTGTAGCATTTAAAATAAACATTTAGCTCAAAATAACCATATTCACATTCAAACCAAAAGCAACGAGACTCGTAATGAAACTTGGCTGAATGCACATTGAACGATGAGTCGCTAAAATGAGCGCTATTGCGATCGAATTTCGCTCGAGATTTGGTGATGGTTCTGTTTGTGTGTGCGTTGTACAAAACGTTCAATCATATTTTATTTTCTTATTCTCATTTGCATGCGAAGCAGCCTATTTCTGTCTATATACACCCGTGGCATATTTGAAACCACTTTGGAAAATTTGGGATCATTTGGAATGATAAACTTGCAAATTGGGGGGAATTGAAAGAAAAAGTAAAACAAAAGTTGAACAAAGTCCAATGTAATTAAAGAATTTCTTAATACCATTTATCCCACATAACCATTTATTACATTCGCTCTAATGAAACTCTTCACTTTTTGGTGTACACATTTTTTTAGACAATAAGTTTTTACAGCCAATGGTTTTCTATGATTTATGATGAAGTTTTTTTTGATTTTTAAATTTCCTACGCAATATTTATTTCAGATTCATATTTTTATACGTCGATTTTTTTTTCGTTTTGCTTCCCAAATTGAAATGAAGTCAAGAAAATTTCTTGAATGAAATCGTACTTCGAAATTGACCAACGAAATTTTTTTTGTCGCAACAAACGAATTCGAATTCAATCTTATTTCGATTTTAAGATTTATATTTCTTGCTGGACAATTTTTTTCGTTCATTTTAATTTTTGACGTCATTTTTTATGGCATTAAAATATGGCATCATGATGACGATTCTTCATTGATGACACTTTTCAAAGCAAATACATAGAAAATTAGGGAAAAAAAATCCATAATTTAATCGATTAAATCGAAAAAATAGGGAAGTTTCGAGATTGTCTATGATGGGAAATCGAAAAAAATTGTAATTGATTTGAAACGTTCAAAAACTTGTGAAAAATTGGATGCTATTGAAAAAAATTCAAAAATTCAAATTCTCATTTTTTTCCCCGTAATTACATTCCGACGCAAAGAAAACAAAATTTAAACATTCTCTCAAAACACACAAAAAATGTTCGCTTCAGCTGAAATGTTTCTTTAGTTTGAGTTGTGAAATGTTTCTGTTGCATCCTCGATTCTGAAACAATTATTGAAAAATTCTGACGTAAAAGTTCACCTCACAATTAGCAAAACAAAAAAGAAAGGAATTGAAGACAGACTGAAACTAAGCGCACATTTTGTGATTTTTACTTACCCACCCTTCCCATCAAAAAATCACTGCCACTTCCGCATTTTCTTGTTTTTTTTCTTCTTCTTCTCATGATTGTTAACCAATCCCGATCCAATTAACCGTTTACGGATCATCAAACATTAAGACAATTTTTTCCAAATCAATGTTCTCTTCTTCAAAATCCATGATGAATATTTTCAAGTTCCATACGAATTCGGCAAACAAAAAAGTGAATACCAAACACAGAGCAAATGTTTTCTTTGGGGAAAAAAAAAAAAACGAACAATTGAATTACTCATAATTTAATATTAAAAAAAAAAATGCAAAATAATCAAATGTACTTTACCTTAATCTAGACTATTTTAATAATAGTAAATATATAATTTAAATTGATTTACAACAAAGTTACATGAAACAAATGATGAAGAAATAATTTCTTAAAAAAAGTGACGACAATAATGTCTTCAAATGGTGCACATTAGGCAAAACACAAATCGGCGAATTGATTAATATATAAATCTATAAATATAATTATATAAAAAAATGGCAAAGGAAGTCCACAGCGTCCAAAATATTGGACGACCGCACACACTCGTTTGAAATTTAAAACAAAAAAAAAATTGCAGCAGCAGCGATACCTATTAAATTCGTATGTCATAAGTGTAAATAATTTATTATTTTGTATATTGAAATATATCTATTTCCTGAAAGAAAAAAAAAAAAACAGAACAAAACAAAAAAAAACACAAACACACTTAGCTCTTAGCCAAACCCAAACCGTTTCCTTTGTACATAGCATTTTCTTCCAGATCTTTTTCTTATTTTTGGGCTAAAAACAGACATGTTTTATTCTTTCTCATGTAAATACTGTACAGCTATTATCTTCAACAATTTTTTTAAAAATTGTATATAGATTTTCAGTTGATTTTTGACCATTTTACAGTCGATTTGCTTTTGTGGCGGAAAATAGTTTCTAAAAAATGAAACTATTTTTTCCCCAAAATAATTTTGAATTTTTAAATAATAATTCTTTCTTCTTTTTAAATTTGAACAAAAAACGCACACACTTTAGGTGTTGAATCCACTCGATGCAGTGTGCGATCGAAAGCGTACGGATGCGGTATGTGTGAGCAATTTGAAGAATGCACGCAAAAATGACAAGGGCGTTCTGGTGGAGCGTCCAGATGTGAAAATCTTTCTTCCATTCCGGTTCTTCTTCTATCGCGTTGATGAGCTGTTCCGACCAAATACATACAATCGATTCTTGGTTGCGCCGGGCGGCGATCATTTAATCTCGTTAATTGATGAAATTTCATATGTATCGCCGCCGTCGCCAATGCTGTCGCAAATGGAAGATATTCCACCCGAACAATTTTGTAACGGTGACAATCGTCCACCCGATTGTGGACTCAACTGCATGTGCACACACACCGTGGACATTCCACTCAATGCTATCGTTGAAGTTGTTCTCGTCGATGAAGGTAACTGTCGATGGAAGAAATTTTTATCAATGATTTGTTTCAATTATCAATTTTTTTTTCTCTTTCGCTTTTTCTTTATTTTTCTTTTAAAAAAAATTTGATTAATTTTTTCTAGAATAATAATTAAATAAAATTTTTCTTTCTAATTTTTTTATGAACTTTTTTCTTGTTTTTACTATTTTTTTTCTTGTTCAACTTCATCAACTTTCATATTCAATTTTTTTTCTTGAAGGAAAGTGAAGCTTCTCCTTCACTTTTCTTCGATTCGATTCAATGATTTTGATGGCAATTTTTTTCTTCTCTTACAGTTCAACAAACGAATTTGAGTCATCCATTCCATTTGCATGGGACGTCATTCAGTGTAATAGGTATGGGTCGATCGCCGGATGCGAATATCAAAAAGATTAATTTGAAACATGCGCTGGAATGGGATCGTAAGGGTTTATTGCATCGACAATTCGCTAAACCACCATTGAAAGACACAATAGCTGTGCCAAACAACGGTTACGTTGTACTGCGATTCCGAGCGGATAATCCAGGTACATGCAATTTCTAAAATTTTAATAAAAAATGGAAATAAAATTCTAAAATGTAATTGCTAATTAAAATGCCAAAAATTTTTTTTAATTTAAAACCAAATATCTCACCTGCTTCAATTCAATTTCGTATTTTTTTTAAATAATTTTTCTCTTGTTCGTAGGTTTCTGGTTGTTCCATTGTCATTTTTTGTTCCATATTCTGATTGGTATGAATTTGGTCATACACATCGGTACGCAGTCGGATTTGCCGCCAGTACCGCCCAATTTTCCACGATGTGGCCATCATCTGCCTCCAATTACACCGCCAAGAAAACACTATTAGATCGCCTGTTAGAAAGTAAAATTTTTATGAATTAGACCACCACCACATCATCATCTGCAGTTAAAGTAAAACACATCAAAAAGAAGAAAAAGAAGAAGAAAATCATTGATGACTCACCGCAGAGGAATCAAGTGCAACACCATCACACCAACAACGAACCAAGCCCATCAAAATGACGACGATGAACGAGATAGACAAGTGTTCATTGCCGATTTGAATAATAGATTTTAAGCGTTTCGTTTTTTTTTTTTGCAATACTCTCCTCACCTCTATCTCGTCATGCGCATATATAAAAAAAAATTCCATCGACGAAAATTTGATATTTATTTTTTTTAACGAAGAAACGGAGAAGACGAACATTTATTTTATTTATGCATAGAACTGAGCGAAAGATGAATCAAAACAACAAATTGAATACGAGATGGTGAGTGAAGAATAGACGAGGATAAGATGATATTGATCCAGAGAAAAAAAAAAAGAAAGAGTATTCTGTTTTATGTCAAAAAAGAACTACTTTAATAGGTATTATATATATTCATAATGTTTTGTAAATTAAAATGGAAACAAATAGAATATTAAAAATCCTAACCAATAAAATATAATAATTATTATAAAGATGAAAGACTAAGAATGAGTTAAAAAAAAAAAAACGAAATAGCATTTTTGAGTCAAGCTAATGTTTCTTCCCTGTTCTATTGTTCGCTACTTATGACTATCCGAAATTTTGTTCTGCTCCAAATAAATCTACTTAAAAAAATAATTTTTACACCGCTCAACGAATGGCTGTTGAGGTCTCTCTGCAATGAAGGGAGCTATGTCCCTTTCTCTGTTTATCTCACTTTCTCTCTTTCTCACTCTCTGCTCTGTCTGTCTCTCGCTCTCTCGCTCTCTCACTGCGATCAATGTGCTAGCGTGTGATTTCTTGGCGCCTTTGATTGGATTTATAGCATTTGAAGCTGCACAGTGGAACGTTTGTTTTGGAGCAATTGTATCGTTTTCGAGTATCATTGCAAATGGCACATAAAACGATTGATGGTGGCAGTTGTGCAACTTGTGCCTGCATTGGAAACTCAAAATTGGTTGGATACGATAGTGATGCACCGTGTTCAATGGACTGATTGTATGATATAACTGGAACGATCACTTTGACCATTTTATTCTTTGCCATTTTGGTCGATTTTGTCTCTTGTTTCTTCAGTAGTCGATCCATGGTTTTGCGTTTGTCTTTCTCACGTTTCTCGTCGGCCAGTTGTTTTCGTTTCTGTGATTTCAATTGGGCTTTTTCGAGGGCTTCGGCAGTCATCACTTTTTCTTTGTAGCCAGTTGGCAGTGCCATCAAATTGTCACCACCGGGCGATGGATCTTTCTCAATGCTACGCTCGTACATGGCACGTTGCCGTGCGGTCATTAATTTTGGATCTTTGATTTTCTTCAATTCGTCATCAACTTGCTCCAATTTCCCTGATTCAATGGCATCAAGCCATCGTTCCTCCTCACTTGATGTCCCACTACCGCGACGTGTTCGCCGTTTTTTATTTGGTCGTGTCGTTGCCGCACCAATTGACGTTGGAACGGCATTCGATTTATTTGATTGTGATTTTAGTTTTTCAGCCGCTGACATTTCCACAAAACTCGAATCGCTTACACTTTGATTGTGTTCGGATGCAGATGTTGGCACCTCAACCACACATAAATCCTCTTCCACATCGACCGCATCATTAGTACCATCAATCGATGAATCGGTCGCAAGCAACGAATCCGTATGCTTATTACTGCCACTATCACTCTTATCTCGACGACTCTTTTTCATTTTTCGACTTCGTCTCAATGCCGTATCTATTTGGGAGAGGAATTAACACAAATTAATATGCATACAGCAAACCGTTTCTTTTTTTTTCCATTCAATTGAATCCGGATTTGTAAATAAATTTCAATTAAAATAATCACTCACTGGCTTCCAATAGCTGCTCTTCGAAATCTTTTTTCTTCGACATCGCTGCAATTGACTCACTTCACTTATGTAAATTGAATAGATCCGAAATAATTGTCGCACCATGAATTTTATACACACCACACAGTTTTAATATAGAGCGAGAGACATATAAACAAAAAAAAAAGAAAACGCCGAAGCGAAATGTCAAAATCAATGCAGCTTGCATCCCTATCGAGATCCGCAAGTCACATGTACACTGTTTGCCCATTTAAAGTACACGGTAAGTTTAAGTACGCGTAGATGCAGTTGAACGTACTTAGCCAATTCAAATTGTGGGATATTTCAGTTGAAATTTGCATGCACCACAACACAAATGGATGGGATTATGGTTTGTTATGACTTTTGGTTCGCGCATTATTATTTGGATAAATCTGAAATGATTGATTCTCATATTCCCATAGCTGTCAAACACCGTTTCGATTGTGAACATTTTTGTATTTTTGCGCATCAAATCAATTCCAAACAGAAGCAAACAAACAAACATTTTTTCTCTCAGTTTTTTGAACGCTTTGATGTCGATTCCTATTACATATATGTTATTGTTTTCATGTTGTCGGTCAAAAATAATCAACAATGATAACATAATCTAGAGGACAAATATTTACGAGGCAACGGAAAAAGATTACAATAGCAATGCCTATCGTAAAGCGGTTGCACACTCAATGTCTTGCCGATCAACGGGCACAATCGGCTGATTTTCACTCACGAACCGTACTTGAATCGGAGAAGAAAGGAAACATAAAAAACAAACATACAAACGCCAATCGCAGAGATTTGCCGATACCAACAGGAGCAAAGGAAGCCAAAACCGAGCGCGGCAAAACAGCAACAACTTTGCCAAATCATTTACTGCTTATGAAAATCGCTTGAATAAGCTGAAAAATGAAATTTTCAAGACCAAATGATTAAGTATACGGGAAACCGTATCGTTCATCGCAAAGCCATGATCGTAAATCTCAAGAGAAGCCACAAATCCAATCTCAATCTCATTTGATTGATAAACGTAAAAACGAATACGCATTTCCAAAGATTCTGATTTTGGCGAGTTTGACTTTGAATTTGAAGCAGTAGCCATGCAAAAACAGCAAAAGATGAACAAAAATGATGATTTTGTGGTGGATTTTATAAAAAAGCAACCGAGCCAGCATAATGAGCATGACCATCGATTGATTTCGAATGAAATTGAAGCTACCGGTATTCCAATCATCGAAGCAAATAAAGACATCCAAGCATTCATAGGATTCACGAGTCACTCATTTACTCGGTCAATCATCTGCAACATTAAACGCAACAACCTCGTCATCAAAACCGACTGAATCTCGCTATTCAAAGCATAAACCAATATTTAATTAATTCACGATACTGTCATTGAGATTAACACTTGAATTTCGTTTATCAATTCCAAGAGGAACTGTTGCTTGATAAATTTAAAAATGTAACAAGTTAAGAATTCGATGAATAATTCAATTTGTCTTCGTCAGAAAGGAACTTTCTACTGAGTATATTCGTTATGCTCAATTTCATGTTACAAAATATTCCGGATAAATTTTTATGCTGCCGTTTTTGGAATCTAAGGCATTTTCGTTTATTTCGTCTATTCAACAGTTCTCTGTTGAATCACACGTTTAGTATTTCCTTCTTCAGTTCTTCAGCATCAAAATGAGAAACGTTTGCATTAGTTTTATCAAAAAATATGATTTCACTTTAGTTATTAACATCAAACAATTTCGAAGAAAAAAACCAAAATAATTTTCATGCAATGTATATCAATAAAAAAAACTTCAACAAAGTCAATTCTTGTGCCGGAAGCGAACACAAAACTTGTGATATCAATTTTAAGTAGATTTCTTAAAAATTATTTTCAAATCTGAACCGTTGAATGGACGAAACAAACGGAAATCCCGAAGGTTCTAAAAACGCAAGCATAAAATTTTATCAGCTTTTTTGGAAAATAAAATTGAGCATTACGAATACATTTAGCTGAAGGCCACTCTTTTGGCGAAAAGATAAAGAAAAGAGAAATCAGTCACTGAGTTTTCAACTTGTTACATTTTTATATTTATCAAACAACCGCTTCGCTTGGAATTGATAAACGAAAGCCTTTTCTACTAATTAAAATTGAAATATTTAAAAGGGAACAATAAATGAGATTCCTGCTTCAGTTTTATATTCGATCTGAAAACGTTGACTTTCGTGTACTATTCCTGTTTGACAAAATGAGATTTGTTATAGCTTGCGCGTTTGTTCTGATTTTGGCCAAAGGATTGCATGGCTGTTTTCTGATTCCTGCTGTTGTATTTAGTCACAATCATGAATCACGATACATTGTTTGCAATGAATCTTTTGATGTTCGTCATAATGAGTGTGATTATTCTTCTGTGGAAGTGCTAAAAATTCAGAACTGCCCTTCCGAATGGATCGCGACCCGATTAAATGTGTATCGAAATGTGCGCACGTTGGACATTTCGTTTTCGAACTATACGAAGTTTGACCAAATATATTTAAATTTCGAATATTTGAAGCGGTTTAATGTGTCTTACAATAATTTAACGGAAGTGCACGAGCATCTATTTTACAAAACAACACAGCTAAAGGAAGTGGATTTTTCACACAACCAAATCAAGGATATTCATAAATTGACATTTTTAATAGTGTCAAAGCTATCAATAATAAACGTTTCGCATAATCAAATCGGAAGAATAGATTCGGGTTTATTTAGTGGACTTTCCGGATTAGAAGTACTCGATCTAAGTGATAATAAAATTGATTGGATTCCAAAAGACGCTTTTATAAAGAATTCCAAATTGAAAACACTCAACCTCAAAAATAATCCAATCGAAATATTAGATTGTGTCATAACACAGTTATTAAATGGCGTGACTTCAATAAACGTGTCGTTCGAAAATGTTACTGAGTTCGATTTATCTTGTGCGAACCCTATGGAATGGGCTGTGATTGAAAAAGAAATAATTTTCAAGAATGCAAACAACAAAAATGAGCTTCGATATCCCAAGATTGATTTCAAACATTTACGCGGTCTCTCTATCAGCGGAAATCAATTGCAGAACCCGCAAGGCATCGTAGAATTGTTGGGAGAATCGATTCTGTACCTGGATTTAGGTGGAAACATATTGGGCGAGGTGAATAAGACAGTATTTCAGGGTTTGAGCCATTTGATAGGTTTATATATAAGTGATACAAGTCTCTCATTCACTGAATCTAATCCCTTCGAGCATCTTAACGAACTGAGGCAACTTGATATTTCTTACAACAATTTAACAACACTGAATATCAGTTTACTTTCGAAATCTTTGCGTAATTTAGGGATTTTTAATGCAGCTGGAAATCAATTTAATAACAGTGTAGAAATCATACACAGTCTCGGATCAGATCTGGGAGAATTGGACCTTTCTCAAAATATCATCGGAACATTGAATCGCAGCACATTTCAACATCTTCGGCATTTTTATAAGTTAAATTTGTCAGACACACATTTGGAACATTTCGATGTGAATTTACATAATGTTGAAGATTTAGACATTTCACGAAACCAATTGAAGCAGTTGAATGTGTCTTTACTGAGGTATACTTTAAATGGGTTACGGTTCTTTGACGCAGCCGATAACAATTTTGAAAATACAGCTGAAATCATACAACATTTGGGATCAGAACTTTGGCATCTGGATCTTTCTGGAAATTATGTGGGAAAATTGAACGAAACTACATTTAATCGAACCCAAGATATTGCATGGCTTTCGCTAAGACGCACCAATTTATCGATTTCTGATGTTAAACCCTTCGGAATTTTCAAAGCTGTGTTGAAGTACCTTGATGTTTCCTGCAACAATTTAACAAGATTGAACTTCTTCACATCATATGCTTTCTTACGTTTAAAACAAATTAACTTGAGCGAAAACCAACTTACGCAACTAGACGGTCTTACCAAAGATTCATATCCACAACTCACTGAATTGGACATCACGAATAACCAAATGAATTGCACA